TATTTTGAAGCCTATATATAATGTCTTATTGGAACACTGGGGTACGTAAATGAACTAATCAATCAAGCAGGAACTGAAAAGGCAAAACAAAGATATTGGGCTTAGTTAGGCCCTAGCTGTCATAGAAAATATGCCTTAATTAATAGATAATCAGGATTCTATTGTCTGTTGACAGGGCAATATGCTAAATTATCAGTGGTACCAAGAGAATCAGAGATCTCAAAAAATATTTTTACTGTTATTTTATCTAGTAAATATATAGGTAGATGGTGAGGTTACTTCATCAAGATACCTAAAAAAGATTTGGCTATAAATATGTGAGAAATGGAATAAACATATAAAATTATAATGTTTAGATAATAAATAGTTTAGGACAACAATGTAAGAGAGATCACAGAAATAGGTCAAGAATATTTAATTTCAGACCCGGCATAACTGACCAGGAGACAAGTTCAGTGTGTAAAATACACATTGCCATGAGCTCTCTGTCATTATTTCTAAGTACATATCCAGTTTGACTATACTGACTGAACTTTTTTAGGACTTCAGGGTATTAACAATCATTTGAAACAGAATGACTGGAAAGGTATGTGTGCAGAAAGAATTGGAATCATGATGGGATATTTAAACGTAGCTTGACAAAATTTGCCATTCAAAGTTGATCAAAAGGAAAAGCTCCAGCTCACATTTTATATGTGATAATAAGTGGAAATGTCTCATAGATTTTTACTTCTGAGTCTTGTTTGTCTTTAAATGATTGCAGGGAAAAATGTTTAAGATGGCAGAAATTTTTATCAAATTAAAAGAAACTGAAAAATTGCTGTTGAAAAGATGAATGTGCTAGATTTCTTAATCTCACATAATCATTATTCTTAGGGGTATTTTTTGTGCTTTTAGTATTCAAATGTTCTCAACTTTTGATTTGTTGAAAGTCTTTAACAATGTCACAGGGATAAAGCATAACACAAAAGACGGTTGCACCCATAGCTCATGATTTCCATGTATTATTCTGTTTCAGACAATAAACCAAATTCATAGCTTGGTTCTTTATTGAAATTCTTTTCCTTTTCTAATAATAAGAATTTAATTTTATCCCATAACTGCATTTGAGATTAATTGGGACCTTACATTTTAGACTATAGTAACATTTTGGATCATCTATAATATTTGGATGGTTTTGTTTATCATCCAATTATTTTGTTAAATTTACAGTGGACATTTTCATAACAACAAAGGCTTATATGCCAGGTATTGTACAAAATGTGTAACTTTTTATCCTCATGTCAGACCTATAAGATAGGCACAATTTTATATTCTTTTCACTGATGGAAAAATGCGTTTAGAGAGGTTAAATGACCTGCCTAAGATCACACATCTCACATCTAGCAAGTGGTCTGAAACCCATTACGCAATGTCAAAACCATAGTCTTTAAGCATTACACTGCAGTATCTCCTTTCCAGGAGATTTTCTGTATATTCATCTTTAATTTCCTTTCTTCTTGTACATTTGTTTCCACCATTTGTTACCTATGTTATGTGTTCATTTTAGTAAACCTATTTTCACCATCCCGTAATAGTAATAGTTCTGTTATTCTTAACCACTGCTCCAGGTTTCTGGAGCAATAATTGGAGGCTTGGAACCAGTGAACTTAAGTTTATACTTAAAATTTACTCAGAAATTGCTCATTTCAGTTTTCTAGTATATGTGGACAAGTTATGTCATCAAAATGTGTTGCTTTATCTACATTTGTCTATTTTCCAAAATTTTAATATGAATATTCATCATGGTTTATCTATTAAAATGTATTTATGTAAATACATCTACATCTATCTATATTAGATATCATTTAATTATAGAAATACTATAAAAAAATTTTCCCCCAGAAGAAATAATGCAGTGGGATGTTTGGCTCTGAAAAAGTATTGGAGTCAAAAAGTTCCTAAAATTTTTTTCCTTAAACTCTACAATTAAAGGTAAACAAAAGTAGATATACATAAATATATTAAAAAGTTGTAGATTTCTGGTTGCTTGAGATAATATTTTCTGATGCGTCCCATTCCAAAGTATCTGCTGAAATACAGCACTATAATCTGCTTTCTGAGTCCTATAAGGTGTAGTTTTAAAATTAAGGTCACAAGAAGGTGAAGACAGGCAGTAATACACTTGTTGACCCTTCACAGGAATTCCAGATAAAACCCCAGAAGCTGAGTCAGAGATAATCACAAGATCTGGAATTTACAATAACAAACTCTCCATATATCTACCTGTCAGACTTCTTCCTCTTAGGGAGGGACAAAAGGTCACTAAAATAGCTTTTTTTTTCATGAAAATGTTTTTACCCTTCTGTGGAGAGTAATGAGAAGTTATAGTATAAATTATATAGGGATATTAGATTTTTTTTCATTGACACTGTTTATTCTTAAAGGCCCAAATATTAATAACATTTTTTCAGGAAGATTATAGTAGAAGTGGGAAAAAAGTCATAACAAGAACAACAAAAAAGGAAAACAAAAGATTGATTACTGAAGCGAAGATCAAATGTTAGCAAATTTCATAAGATTGAACATGTGAGAAAATTCTAATTTAAATGAAATTCAAAACAAAATCCATGCAATTTTTTCAATCCTTATGTAGCCATATGCTAAGGTGAGGTAGTGCGATATTAAGTAAAGGCATCACATGCTTCATCCTTTTTCTACTTTTTTCCTAGTAAATAGAAAAAATAATGAAAATACTGCCAGTTATTACTATAATTTTCATAGCAATAATTCTGTTGATAAAATTCTGTTTTCTTAGGATTTCATAGGCAATAGAAAACAGTGTAGAGTTACATTCTTTTAAGTGTGTTGTCAGTTCTACAATATTAACATCATAATTTTACTTTCCTTTACAAATATGAGATCAGCCGTGGCTAAGTATTAAAAAAGTAAATCCGTGTTATTATTTCCCATCTCTCTCCACCCTGGGTTTTGGTTTAAAAGACAAATATTATAGAACATTCAATTTATTTTCGTGATCTACAGCATGGATATAAATCTTAAAATGAACATATATAGTATACTTGAATTTGTACATCTTAGTAATGTTTAGTGTTTCTAATGTAACAGAAATGTATAGCATTTCTAAAAAAAAACTTTATCATCTAAGAATATGATACATCTATCTTAAAAATTCAATGACATTTTTTTCAAAAGAGAAAAATATAATAATATCTTATTTTCATTTCTTATTATATGATGAGGATTACAGGCAATATTGTTGTTAGAGGCAATCAACATTTTCCAAAAGCCAAGCAAAAGACACATGTTGTCACTTAACCTAAACGATCTTATCTATCTGGTATTCATTCTGTATGGCCTGTGACTTTCCATTAATGTGAGATAGAGAGGTAATGGGGAAGGGAACAACATTTATTGAGATGCTATCTCAATGCTATTTTTCATTTTACAGATGAAGCTAAGGGTGTGAGCCATGTTTGTTTTGCTTACTTGTTAACAGAATGAATATTTTTAAATTAAAGAGGAAAACTTTTCAAATCCTTGGACTAATCAATTTACATAAAGCAATTGGAAATGCCAACCGAAACCTAAGTGATATTGTTTGATCTGCCTATTTAAGACAATAATTCTTTTTTCTTTTTTTTTTTGCGGTACGCGGGCCTCTCACTGTTGTGGCCTCTCTTGTTGTGGAGCCCAGGCTCCAGACGCTCAGGCTCAGCAGCCATAGCACACGGGCCCAGCCGCTCCGCAGCACGTGGGATCTTCCCAGACCGGGGCATGAACCCGTGTCCCCCTGCATCGGCAGGCGGGCTCTCAACCACTGCGCCACCAGAGAAGCCCAAGACAATAATTCTTGCTTGTCTTAGGAATGTTTTCCCTAATTATTCTTTGTTTCTCTTAAAAATATGGAAACTTGATTGGTATTGGTTGATTCCTGATTTATAACTTGCATATTCTTCTTGCTTGGTTTATGAATCGTCAGGCTACAGGACAAAAAATAACCAGTAAGATGACTTTCTCCATTTCCTCAGGTTTTACTTATAAATTATGTGCATCCTTTCTCCAAAGCTAAACAAAATTTCTTATCCAAATTCCCATTTCTTTTAGGAAGTCTGAATTAACAAGAAATCAAACAATATCACTTTTCTTTTATCTCAGACTTTCTATTTGGAATCAAGTTTGTTTTTGGCTTATTTTTATTGTCTCTTCTCGGTTTGTATGACATCCTTAACTCTTCGTTGCATCTGACAAAAGACATGCTCTGTTTTTTTCCTTTTTTTTAAAATTAATTTTTATGTGGAATTCAGATGAGAAAGAATGCAGTATTGCTTTGACTGCCTGCCATAATATAAAATGTAGTAAAATGTACAGCTGGTGATAGTCTAGTTAGAATTTTTTAATGAAATATAAAGGAAAAGATCAAGTGCTTAATTTTTACATGCTGCATTTCATTTAAAAAATTCATGGTATCTTTTTGAATAATTTTTACTCATGCAGATGTTCTGAATATTGGAAACAGACGTTTATTTTATTTCCTTGGTTCCCATTTCACACTAAGCTTTTGCACAAAGAAGGTGGGCTGAATAGCTAAATTATTTGTGAGTCAGGATTCCAAGGGTAATTATTCTCAGATAATTGCCAAATGACTCATGGCAAGACTTTCAATAATGCGTACCTTGGTTTGTCTAGTTCAGATCTGGAGGATACTGGTCGTTTAACATAATAGAAAAGAACTTTAGGCTATTTAAGAAGGCATGCATGTCAGTAAAAATGTGTTGACTCTTAAAATAATAGACAACCCCATTTATATTATCTCTTAGTTGATGAATCATTGCTGTAAGAACTGTTTCACAAATTTCAGAATTTTGAAATTTCTAAATAATCAAAAGTACTTTTTCTTTTTAGCTTAACACACATTATAAGAAATTCAGTCTAAGTCATTTAGAATTAAGTGACTAGAAGTTATAATGGTGATTTAAGCTTTTCCCCCAAATTACCAGTATATAAAAATTTTGGCTCTGCGGCGTGGTCCTCGGAGACGCTCGGCCTTGCCCTGTGCCAGCCACGGCCGACTACCTGAGAGCAGTGGCACATCCTACATGCCAGACGATAGACTCACTGCACAGCAGCTGTTCAACTGCACGGACAGTCTCACCTACAGCGACTTTCTCATTCTCCCCGGGTACGTCGACTTCACTGCAGACCAAGTGGACCTGACCTCTGCTCTGACTAAAAGTACCACTCTGAAGACCCCACTGGTTTCCTCACCCATGGACACAGTCACAGAGGCTGGGATGGCCATAGTAATGGCGCTTACAGGCGGTATTGGCTTCACCCACTACAACTGTACATCAGAATTCCAGGCCAATGAAGTTCGTGAAGTGAAGAAATATGAGCAGGGATTCATCATGGACCCTGTGGTCCTCAGTCCCAAGGATCGAGTGTGGGATGTCTTTGAAGCCAAGGCCCGGCATGGCTTCTGTGGTATCCCCATCACTGACACAGGCCGGATGGGGAGCCACCTGGTGGGCCTCATCTCCTTAAGGGACATTGATTTTCTCAAGGAGGAGGAGCGTGACCGGTTTTTGGGAGCGATCTTGATGAAGAGGGAAGACTTGGTGGAAGCCCCTGCAGGCATCACATTGAAGGAAGCAAATGAAATTCTGCAGCACAGCGAGAAGGGAAAGTTACCCATTGTAAATGAAGATGATAAGCTGGTTGCCATCATTGCCCAGACAGTCCTGAAGAAAAACCGAGATTACCCACTGGCCTCGAAAGATGCCAAGAAGCAGCTGCTGTGTGGAGCAGCCATCGGCACTCAGGAGGATGACAAGTATCAGCTGGACTTGCTAGTCCAGGCTGGTGTGGACGTGATGGTTTTGGACTCTTCCCAGGGAAACTCCGTCTTCCAGATCAACATGATCAAATACATCAAAGAGAAATACCCCAGTCTCCAAGTCATTGGAAGCAATGTGGTCACAGCTGCTCAGGCCAAGAACCTCACTGGTGCTGGTGTAGATGCCCTGAGGGTGGGAATGGGCAGTGGCTCCATCTGCATCACTCAAGAAGTGCTGGCCTGTGGGCGGCCCCAATCAACAGCAGCGTACAACGTGTGAGAATATGCACGGTGCTTTGACGTCCCTGTCATTGCTGATGGAGGGATCCAAAATGTGGGCCATATTGTGAGTTAGGTTACTTTCCGTATTTAATAATCTTCATTTTTCAAAGTTATATCATTCTGGAAAGAAAAATTACTAATGGATTTCTATTTGACAAATCATCTTTTTATAATGCATATGATCCTTTAAAAAAGAAATATTTTCTCACTGCTATTTATCTTCTCCACATTGACCCTGCTAACAGGAAGAATATATCTGCTTGGGAAAGAGGAATCCCCAAATCTAGGCTTTGTTCTACTCTGTTTCCCACTAATCGATTCAAATAGATGTTAAAAAAAAAACTCCTCAAAAAAGAAAGTCCATTGTCTTGAATGACTACGTATTCTTGCTATTCATAAATTTCATTCTGTTTTCCTGATTTACCCAAAATAAGGCAGTTTTCCTGTTGAGGTTAATTTGGGATATGTAAAATAACCCCATCCTCTAAAAAACAAGGTTGAAATATTTTATCCTGGATATCAGTGACAGTCATTTGTTTTTCACTATATTTAGATTCTCTCAGTATTCTTCTTAAATCACAAGTTGATCAAGATTGTGATCTCATTTTGGTATAGTGTAAGGCTGTTGAGATGGAAAAGATTAAAAACCAAAACCAAAACCAAACAATTAAAAAATAACTTGTCCACTGTTTCTGGTCCCAGTTACCATATTGTGGTTAAAAGCAACTCCATATGATCTATCACTCTGATTCGTTTTCCCCTTGATTGTAAATGATAACCCAAAAGTTCTTGGGCATACAAAAAAAAAACCAAGTTCATTCTAATTAAAAAAGTTTGTGGAAGTGTGTGGGAAGTACAGAATTGAATTAATTCTGTGCCCTTGGAAAATTTTGACATCTGTACCAAACGCAACACGTTTTCATCATTTTTAATATGGCCCCAGGAAGGATATTAGTCCAGTAGATTTCTCAATCCTGTGATAAGGAAAAAAACCTTTTGTTATTTTCTATCATTACTTGCTTCTTTCATCTCTCAATGGTAGTGCTATGGTGCAAGGTGGAAAGGGAAGTGGTCAAAGTTGAATAGCAGAGCAGAGTATCATGTTATATGGATGTCAGTGGTAGGCACAAGTTCACTCAGTGTAGAACCAAGTGAGAAAGACTAGGACGGATGAGGAAATAGTGCAGGTTGCGTAACCATACACACAGATCCATTCAGGAACCAAATAAAGGACCAAAAGCAGTAAAAAGTAAAAACAACAAATTCTGCCATTAAAATTCTCAAATTTCACATTTTTTTCTTGATAAAGAATGGGCATATGAGAGGGCATTTTAAAAATGACAAGTGATCAGAATTTCAACTATGGGAACACAACCAATGGTCAAAATTGTGAAATATTAGGCTTATTACATTAGTACTTTAGCAGGAAATAAATATTGCCAATGTTTGTGTGTTGGGGAAGCAGGAGTGGAACAGAAAGAAACGTGAAGGAAATTGCGCCTGTACAAAGTATAGATATTCGCCTTCTTGATATAATTCTCTCTGGAAATGAATGAAATAATGTGGTTTTGCCTATTCTTAATGTGACCAAATGACTTTTTCTTTAAAACAAAAATTGAGGGTATTCATCTTAATGGAATTAAGCAAATGTATGTGCGTGTGCAGTCACACGTGTGCACAGCTAAATAAACGCAACGATCAGTTTTGAGTTTAATGGGCTTCCAAGCTCAACAGTCAAGCACTATATACATATATGTTTAGCATCTTCATTGCAGTGTAATTGCTTAACAATGGTGTGTTAGTTTCTGCTTCATAACAAAGTGAATCAGTTATACATATATCCCCATATCTCCTCCCTCTTGCATCTCCCTCCCACCCTCCCTATCCCACCCCTCTAGGTGGTCACAAAGCACCGAGCTGATCTCCCTGTGCTATGCGGCTGCTTCCCACTAGCTATCTGCCTTACGTTTGGTAGTGTATATATGTCCATGCCTCTCTCTCTCGCTTTGTCAAAGCTTACCCTTCCCCCTCCCGGTATCCTCAAGTCCATTCTCTAGTAGGTCTGCATCTTTATTCCCGTCTTGCCCCTAGGTTCTTCATGACCATTTTTTGTTTGTTTGTATTTTAGATTCCATATATATATGTGTTAGCACACGGTATTTGTTTTTCTCTTTCTGACTGACTTCACTCTGTATGACAGACTCTAGGTCTATCCACCTCATTACAAATAGCTCCGTTTCGTTTCTTTTTATGGCTGAGTCATATTCCATTGTATATATGAAGCACTATAGTTTTTAAAGATAGGAAAATGAGATCCAGTAAAGCTGGCTTATCTTACACCTTTGACTCCTGATATGTTCTTCATACTGTACTTCTCTTTGGTGAGTGAGTGAATGAGGCCAAAGTGTGCTTCAATTGTCAGATTTTTATTTTCCCACTTTTCTGACTTCATGCGAGTGATGATCTCCCTGTACCTTTATTTCTAACATTGGGACTAAACTATCGCATCGTCCATCAACTCCTTTCTTGGCATGAATCAGTTAACACCTGTAAATCACTTTAAGTCATTGAGGGAAACGTGCGATGTAAATACAAGGTTAGTTGTGAAAAAAAAACCACAAAACCAGAAGCTAATTTCCTTCAAAAAGCATTGATATTTAAGGAACATAATGCTAGCTTTGTCTAGCTGAGTTGCCAATATTTTGCAAACAGAAGTTTTATTGTGCCAGAGGCAGCAAGAACAGGTGAGCTTTTTCCTAATGAGACAGAGTGAAAAGGAAATATTGAGGCCTTTACAGTCCTAAAAGTGCAGGAGCAATAATGTGGAAAGAGAAGGCAAAGACAGCCAGGATTACTCTGACGATATTTAAGTTTGATTATCCTATTGTGATATCTTAAAATTATAAAGATAAAAACATCAACTTGTGGGTTTTAGACTTGGTTCTCTGACATCAGTGTTCGTAGGAATGGGTCATTGTATCCTTTATCCCCTTAGAATTCAGTAGGTTGTTTGCACATTAATGTTATAGAATAGAGAAATCTTATATACTAGCTTTAACAAAACAAACGGAAGGGCCTCCTTAATTACTCATTTGCTTTCTGTCTTTGAAATTCCCATTGTATATTAAAAATAACTAATGAAATACCTTGAAAAAAGACAGAAAGTATTTTTTACCTACTAAATAATGAATAGGGAAGCATGCTTCATGGTGAGCAAGGAATTCAAGATACTTGCTAGTTTTGCCACAGATCTTTACAAGGCTGGAAAATACCAAAATGCTGCCTTAATGATAAAACTATCTGGTATAAAAAGCAAAGAAATAGCTTAAGAAAAAAAAGCAGAGAAAGAGGGACAGAGAAAAAAAGGAAGGGAGGAAGGAAAGGACAGAGGGAGAGAAAGAGGAAAGAAGGAGAAAGACAACAAATACCTGCCCTGCTTCAGCATTATTGGGAGGGGAAGGGACAGCATTTACCTCAGAGGGTTTTCACAGTTTTAAGAAGCTCTTAAGGTGGAATTGTTAATACAACGAAGTAGGAGGTCAAAATTCTACATATAATTAATGGTAAAAATGTGAAAAAACTTATTTATACTAGATGGATATATGGAGAGAGATATAGGTCCCATGCTCTTCTCAGCTAGGTAAATAGGGGAATGGATGCCGGGGGGTAAATTGAGTCTAATCTGGTCATTTCAGTCTCATTTGGGTAAGTGCACAATCTTTCACTTCCCTTTCCTCCTCTTTCCCAAGATGGGATCTGAGTGTATGAGATGGCCTAACACATTCTCGAGGGAAAGGGGTCCTTGGACCCATGAAGTCCGCCAGTTCCTCTGGTTTCTGTGAAAATGTCCCTTTGTGCTTGCCCAGCTGGCTGTCTTGGATAAAGTGATGGTCCACAGGTCTGCCGGTCTGGGGCTCTGTTGTTAAAGGCCCAGTGATGCCTCTTTGACATAAATCACAGCAAGATCTTTTCTGACCCACCTCCTAGAGAAATGGAAATAAAAACAAAAATAAACAAATGGAACCTAATGAAACTTAAGAGCTTTTGCACAGCAAAGGAAACCATAAACAAGATGAAAAGACAAACCCTCGGAGTGGGAGAAAATATTTGCAAACGAATAAATGGACAAAGGATTAATCTCCAAAATATATAAACAGCTCATGCAGCTCAGTATTCAAGAAACAAACAACCCAATCCAAAAATGGGCAGAAGACCTAAATAGACATGTCTCCAAAGAAGACATACAGATGGCCAAGAGGCACATGAAAAGCTGCTCAACATCACTAATTATTAGAGAAATGCAAATCAAAACTACAATGAGGTATCACCTCACACCAATCAGAATGGCCATCATCAAAAATTCTACAAACAATAAATGCTGGAGAGGGTGTGGAGAAAAGGGAACCCTCTTGCACTGTTGGTGGGAATGTGAATTGGTATGGCCACTATGGAGAACAGTATGGAGGTTCCTTAAAAAAATCAAAATAGAATTACCATATGACCCAGCAATCCCACTACTGGGCATATTCCCAGAGAAAACCATAATTCAAAAAGAGTCTTGTACCCCAATGTTCATTGAAGCACTGTTTACAGTAGCCAGGTGATGGAGTCAACCTAAATGCCCATTGACAGACGAATGGGTAAAGAAGGTGTGGTACATATATACAATGGAATATTTCTCAGCCATAAAAAGGAACGAAATTGGGTCATTTGTAGAGACGTGGATGGACCTAGAGACTGTCATACAGAGTGAAGTGAGTCAGAAAGAGAAAAACAAATATCGTATATTAATGCATATATGTGGAATCTAGAAAAATGGTACAGCTGAATCGGTTTGCAAGGCAGAAATAGAGACACAGATGCAGAGAACAAACCTATGGACACCAAGGGGGGAAAGCGGGATGGTGGTGGTGTTGGGATGAGTTAGGAGATTGGGACTGACATATATATACTAATATGTATAAAATAGATAACTAATAAGAACCTGTTATATGAAAAAATAAA